GAAGACTATGGGGGTTTCCGAAAATAGGGGACCCTAATATAGTACCCTACATAATAGGACCCTTATATTATAAGGACCCCAAAATAAGGTACCCCTTATTTTCGGAAACTCCCATATGGGTAATTATCTAAATTAGGGTCCCTTTTAGGGTCTTTTGTGTAAGGGTGCCATGCTATATTGGGGACCCAAAAAGGGAACCTAATTTAGAGAACTACCCATATTGGTTCTGTGTCATAAATCGGTTCAGGAATTAGGGTCGTTTCCCGTGAATCCAGGCTTGGGGGGTTGCGCTTGAACTCCAGCTGGCATTTCGTTCTCCCGTGCTGCCGGCTTGAACTTTCCATTCAACATACAGGCTTGACGCTTCCAAGCGTTCCGTGGCATGCAGCACCCTAAACCATCTAAGCCCTAAGCCCACCTTCAGAACCCAAAACCTACTTTTTTGTAGGGTCCCTATAAATCCCATATTAGGGTTTATGATAAGAACCTACAAAAAAGTGGGTTTTGGGTTCTTAAGGTAGACCCTAGTGTGCACACTGCAAGCGGCTGCTGCCTACTGCATGTCCAGCTTCAATCTCAGCTTACGGCTGCCGCCTAAGCCCTATAGTTTAGGGCTCCAAGAAGGACGTGAGCACAAGCATTTCACCAGGATATCTCTACCTTATGGGGCTTCTTCATAGGGGTTTTACATGGCCTATCCCTGTCCTGGTTTATGTTTATGTAACAGAGTAACTTGATTAAGCAACCCTGGGCCTTTATTGGGGTTATTAATCTGAGCCCGGAGTTCTGTGGCCAGAGTTTCTGAATCAGGTTCCTACCCTAAACCCTACTTGGAGGTTCATGGAACTTAATTACTACAGTTATAAGTTATAAGTTCCTCAACTGGGGCTATAAGTCATTTATGGATAAGCACAGTTGCCTTTTTTCTAACCCTAGCTATTATGTCCCATGAACCTTTGAGTAAACCCCTAAACCCCTAGACCCCTAAACCGCTAAACCCTAAACCTCTAAATCCCTAAACCCCTAAACCCTGGACCCCTAAACGCCCTCATGTCTGCGCAGAAAAAACGCCCCACACATACAACATGCAGGCAGCGATGCACGCCGAAGAGACTCCAATTCTTCGGCCCCTCGGACCTTCTTCAGGGTTTAGGGCTTTGGGTTTAGGGTTTAAGGGGGTTTTGGGGTTAGTGGGGTTTTGGGGTTTCGGGTTTTAGGGTTTTAGGGTTTGGGGTTTGGGGTTAAGGGTTTAAGGGTTTAGGGTTTTTGGCTTTACGGTTTAGGGTTTTGGTGTTTCGGGGTTTGTGGGTTTAGGGTTTAGGGGTTTAGGGTTTAGGATTTTGGGGCTTAAGACTTGGTGTTTAGGGTTTCGGGGTTTAGGGTTTTGGGGTTTCGGGTTCTGGGTTTGGCGTTCCATTACAATGGTTCTGTTTTACGGGATAGTGTGAAGGTGTTAGGGTTTTGAGGGTTGCTTCAAGGTTTCCTTGAGCCTTCTATGCTTAGAAAGTCAGCTAAGTTAGGATGTCGGAGGGTAGGATTTAGAGGGTCATTGGAAGGTCTTATATGGGAGTTTCCGAAAATTAGAGGTACCTTATTTTGGGGTCCTTATAATAGGGATCCTATTATTTAGGGTACTATATTAGGGTCCCCTATTTTATGAAACCTCCATATGGGTCTTAGGATAAACAAAAGGCAAGAAGGCCTTCACAAAAAGACACTCTTTCTTCCAGGGCTACCACGGGGTGCCCTCCCTAAGCTGTTCATGTGCTTTCTTCGCTGGGCACAGATCACACTACGGCTGATGGACAAAATCCTGCATGACCTTATATACCTAAACTATGGGATTTATGGTACTATACTATATTTGAGTCATGCAGGATTTTGTCCATCAACAATAGGACGCTCAACGGGGCCCTGAATTTGGTACCCCGTACTACCAAAGGGTACTTTATAGGAACCAGGGATCGGCTTGTTTGATCCTTGTGGGGGTCTAAAAAGACCTACTTACCCAGACCCCCGGGAGGATCCACAAAGTAGATCCCTTAATGGGGGTTGCTCTCAAGAGCCTTTAGTAGTATAGGGTCCCAGATTGGGGGTTCTACTTTCTAGATCCTTTTGGGGGTCTGGGTAGAGGATCATGGGGAAGAGAAACCTATGCACTTGACCCTAAAGCCCTAAACCCTAAACCGCTAGAACCCCAGACCCTAGACCCTGAACCCCTAAAGCCCTAAACCCTAAACCTTCCACCACAAGGATGCTCGCCAAATGTGCCGGTGACCCCTCCTACATGCCTGAGATCATCTTCCCCAACATTGGTGCGACCGAGTCCCATTCCGACAACGCCGTACCTCGTCCCGCCGGTCCCGGTGCCGAACCATTGGTTGGTCACTCCCTTTGATGAAGAAGGCCGCCCTTGCCCTATCACTATTTCCTCGGCGCCAGCATGGAATCCAGAAGAAACTCCGCAGTACGCCAATGTCCCTGACGTGGATGAAGTCATTGAGGACATTTTGGCGACTACACCGACCACAACTGGGGTGCATTGGACGAGTACCACCTTCTCCTCTACCTGGGTGACTTCCTGGAGTTCGTCGTCTTCAACGTCTCCTTGGACCTTGACTTCTTCGAGTACGACTTCCACGACCACTACGCCTATGACACCTGCTGATCCAACAGAACAGGTGACACTTGGCGATGCTACAGAGGGTGAATGGCCAATTACCAATGGCGTTGGGATGGGTGAGATGCGTGAAGAGGAGTTGGAGGAGGTGGATGCGGAGGTCGAAGCCATGGCAGAAGATGACTTTGCGGATACGGGGGCGGGCGTTGGACCTACGGATGCCGGTGACATTCCTCGTCTCACAGCTCGCGAGCAGATTGTGGCCAACTACATCGTCCGAATGGTGGTTGCTGAGATGTACCACTTTTTGCGTGGCAATGGCTTGCTTTCTGGGCCTGGGACGCCGAGCCGACCGACCCCGCCATGGCGCATCCGGGAAGAAGTCCGACCTACTGCACGATCATACGAACCGCGCCCGTCAGTGGTTCCTGGGGGGTGATGGGTGGACTTTCCAAGATTCTTGGGACGCCATCCGATTACATCGAGGACTAAGAGGCGAAGAACCCACTTTTCGCGAGCGCCACCTATGGGGTGTACTTGCGGGCGATGTTGGAAGACTTGGACGAACAGAGATGCCTTCGGAGGGTACGGCACAGGATACAATGACCGCCTTTGCTTCGACGCTACCAGATACAGAGGTGGACACGGAAGCAGCAGTTCAGGGAGAAAACACTGTGGATGTAGAACCTGTACCTACTACTGGGGTGGCTGGACTAGACGACGACCAAACACTGGATTTTGGTTCAGCGATGACCTCCTCTACCACTTCTACAACGTCTCTGGGGTGGCCAAGTCCACAGTGCGGAGTGTGCCAATGGTTCGTGCTGACTACCACAACCACTACTACCACTCCTTCGACGGATCTGACGAGCTCCTTGCCTGAGACTACAAACCCGTCAACTGGGATGACACATCCTTCGGGAAATACTCTGCTGGAGCTCTGGGGTCTGTACCACTACAAGGACGGGACGAACTTCTTGCTGAGCGTATTGCTTACCTTTTACTGCGTGATCTTCTGGCCATACTGGAGGCAATGGAGGGTGTTGTCCACAGCCTACAAGAAAATGTCCAGGAGGATGCTCAAGGTAATGCTGGACCTTCCATTGTTCGTCCAATACGTCCTCTGCTCCCGTGCCAACATCGTCAACTGTTCACCCTGATGAAAATGCTCGACCTGATGGAAATGCTCGACCTGGTGTAGATATGGATGGGGACGTTCACATGGTCCTACAAGCTACTCATGGTGAAACTGAAGGTGGAGATGTCATTCCTCATGATGAAGATGAATGCGTGGTCGACTATGCTTCACCGACTAGCACAGAGTGACATCTGGATGCTACACTTGGCTCTGTTGGCTATGCTTTTCTGCTTGCCCTCTCGTGTATGTCTTCCTCTCTGTGTATGTCGCTGGCCTGAGTTGGTTCTTGGTTCCTGGACAGAAAATGTTGGAATACGAAATGTCTCACACTCTACGAGCCCAAGGTGGCAAGTGCGGTTCGAAAAGTCCGTCAATCGTAGATCGAAAAAAATATAAAGTAGAACTCCTAATTTGGGACCCTATACGACTAAAGCTCTTTGTAGGAACCCCCGTAAGGGATCTTTTTTTTGGATCCTCCCGGGGGTCTGGGAGCTGACTCGCGAATGCCTCCTGCTGCCTCTGAAGCCCTGAAACCCTAATATAGCGGCCTTGATAATTAGAATAGGTTTTTTTTGGGGGGGTGGGTTCCTTCAAAGGGTTCCTTCAAAAAGGGTTCTATATGGGCTGCTATTTGGGTTTCGGGTTTCGGAGCCTTCATAATTTGGAATAGGGTTTGTGGGGTTCCTCAGTATAATTATAGTATAATAGGCCCCGAAACCCCAGTCTAAGTATTAAGGCCCTTACATTACACAGCCCTAAACCCTAGTATAGGGTTCCCAGAATTCCGGGAGGATCTAGAAAGTAGATCCCCGAAAGGGTACTTTATATAGGAACCCCTGAACAGATCCACTCTTTGGATCCTTTCGGGGGTCTGGGTTTAGGGTAAATGCTGAAGCCCTATTCTAGGGCTTAGCGGTTTAGGGTAATGTAGGGCTTGGGAGTTTTAGGGGTTTTCAGCTGATGTAGGCTCGGACTAATTAGGCACAGTACGCCTTCGCAGTCCCTATGTATTCATAGTACAATGTGTGTCCCAAAAGCTTGTGCTAATTATGAAGCCCCTTCGCCAACCTGTTGATCTCCCGCAAAAACGTTGGAAGTGCTGAACCCTAAACGCGAAACCCCTAAACCTCTAAACCTCTGAGCCCTAAACCTCTAAACCTCTGAACCCTAAACCTCTAAACCTCTCAACCCTAAACCTCTAAACCCCTGAACCCTAAACCCTAAACCGGGTTTAGGGTTTAGGGGTTTAGGGTTTAGGGTACACCCAAATTCCCGAAGAGAATAAATCCCTATGAAAGCCAAAAGAAAGGTTAACCCCTCTAACCCGAGACACAGGAAGCTTGCCATGGGGCGGCCTGTAGGAATCCTACATCCTAACCAAAGCAAAGCTCTAAATCCGAGAAAACGCCTTGAGACGCCGTTTAGGGTGTAGGGTTTAGGGAAAACCCTAAACCCTAAACCCTAATCCCTAAACCCTTTAGGGTTTAGGGAAAACGACAAGGTCTGGCCTGTGTTGGTGCCACGGTGCTTGGCACTTTCGTTACCGTCGGCGCCATCTTCGCTATCGGCCTCTGAGCAAGTGCTTTGGGGTTTTTAGGGGTGTAGGGTTTTAGGGTTTAGGGTTTAGGAGTTTAGGGTTTAGGGGTTTAGGGTTTACGGGAAAGTTTAGGGTTCGATATAAGATCGATTAAGGGCTTAGGGTTTAGATGGTAGGGCTCGGGGTTCTATAAGGTCTGCGCAGGTTTGGAGCTACAGTTTAGGCCTCTGTCAGAAATCCATGAGACACGCAACACTCAACTCCGAAATCCCAACCCTATCCCAAAGCTAAGCGCTTGGAGTTCAGCAGTCACTCGGTTTAGGGTTTAGGGTTTAGGGGTTGCTTATCGGAATTCCAGCATTTGCTCAACGCGCGTGAGGCGGCCTGGCGTAAGCCACCCGTCTATGCATGACAGGATGATTGTCAAAATGAGGGTCTTGTGTACCTGCGTGGGCCTAACAATGTATGTGTTTTTTCATCGACAGTATTACATGAATGCCTACCAAATTACATACCTACTTACTTACTTCCCTAAATGCCTGCCGAATCCTACTTGCCTCACTACCTCCTTGCTTACCTACTCACCTCCCTCAATGCCTGCCGACATTCCAACTCGTATTTACCTAGCTACCTACCTACCTACCTCCCTCCCTCCCTGCATGCATGCATGCATGCAACAGTGCATACTGATATACAGATCTGTTGTGCATGTGTGTGCGGCCACAAACACGCATAAAAAGATGATGCGTACATAGGCGCAGCTGTAGGACCTAGCCATGCACATGAAGCTTCCGAATGGTTTGTGGAAATCGCAAGCACAGACGAGCTTAT